TGTGTGTAGCCCTGAAGGAGGAATGCTGTGCATACGCTGATCATACTGGAGTTGTTACAGACACCATGGCAGAATTAAGGAGAAGATTAGAGCAAAGAAAGAGGGAAAGAGAGGCACAGCAAAGTTGGTATGAATCATGGTTCAATCAATCTCCTTGGTTAACTACCTTGTTATCCACCCTTGCAGGACCTCTGATACTGATAATATTGGGACTGACCTTCGGGCCATGCATCTTCAATAAGGCAATAGAAATAGTGAAGGGACGCTTAGAGGCAGCACATTTAATGCTCATTAGGGCAAAATATGAACCCATACACGATGTAGATGAGACCCTAATACTAAGTCACCAAGAGTTACAAAGATTCAGTGAACAAAATAAAGATGAACAAGAAAAAGGGGGGAATTGAGATAAGTGGAAGATCATTTGTTCACTGAAGCAAGACTGTGGTATGCTTGCTTACCTTGGTTTGCATAAGAATGTACTGGTGTGTCTTTGAAATGCTTATTTGATTACAAGGTGATAAGGAGGTTGAGATTAAAGTCCTGGGTGTGTGTATCTGGTCTGCTTGCTGTATCTCAAAAGAAGAGACTTAGAAGCTATCACAACGACCAGACTCAGACTACATCTGGAGAGTCACGTCTGCAAGGAGAAGGGGGGGGGATAAAAGGAAGGTTGGGACAGAACATTTTTGCGCGCCGTTGGTGGAGCAGGAGACTCCCGGCTGCCCAGCGCTGTGCTTTGCCTGCCTTACTCGCTTGCTATTTTAAATAAAATTGCTTTATTGAATTAAGACACTTCAAATTGTCGTGTCACAATTTATAACAACTGTCAAGTCAAACTCGCACAAAGAATGGATGAACCACTGTGCAAACACTGAGAATCTGAACACAATTCGACACCAACTTTACTGAGTAACTTTTCACATAATACACTGCCGAGTACACCCACATTTGTTCGCAGTGAATGCAAGCCAGCCATGAGCAACTCGGGTCATTTCACTGAGTATATAACTCATTACGTGTCTAATGCATTAATAGTAAACTTTTTGTCATAAGTAGATTGAATTACAAGATAAATAAAAATCTACATTATGAAAAAATAACTGTATAGGGGTCGATGCACAGCCATCAGGGGACACACAGACGGCCAGATCAAACTCCCATCAGCTACACGCGGTCTCTGCAGCCTCGCTATTGTAAAAGGGCACGATTCGGTCAAAAATGATCCGCGAAGACCCTTCCCTGCCTCCCGGCTGTCCTCGTTCGCCACAACCGCGGTGGCACAACCGCAGGGACCAGCCAGGGACGGGAGGGGCGGGGGGACACGGCGGGGACACTGTCCGGGCACCGCCACCTGCCTGAAACAGCGGCTCCAGCCACAGGGAAAGGTTCATTAAAGTCCGAACCCCAAAACTGGTGCCCTGTTCCTGAGGTATTATAGTATTGATGGTGTTGCAGTGGCGAGATTTCCTCTTACATTACAAAACAGTCAGGGTGAGGGGCTTTTCCTCCCCTTTGAGAAAAACAAACAACGAACTATTTAAAACCGTGTGCCTGAAATGCGCAGAGCCCTGTGTCTTGGACTAGGTGACTTCTGCAACTTCCCAGCCATACAAGGCACTGAATGCAGATATTTGCCCACGAGAGAGGATGCAAATCAAACCATAACGTAACTCAGAGAGCTCACTGCAGGAACCCAGCTGGAGGGATGAGAAACCTTACACAGAACTTTCTGTCTGCATCCCACCCACAGGAGAGATTTCAATTTCCATCACCTCTGATAGTGGCTTCAGGAAAATATTACACAAGGGTTTTGGTTTATGAGAACTGCAATTCTTATGGATAGGCTACTCCCCTGTGCAGCAAAATAAAGGCTGTTCTGATGAAACTAGATTTTGGAATAGTGGAATATATCAACCAGAAGAAAAAAGAGGTAACTATTAAGCCTGCAATAGATCAAAAGGAAACATGCGCACAATGATGCATACTCCAGGGAAATTAATTTTCCAGTAGTCACATTTAAAGTTAAAAAGGGAAAAAGAAGACATGTGAAGCGATGTAAATGACGAATGTGGAGTACCTGACTATGACATAAGTCAACCAAGAATATAAATCTATTTCAGAATATAAATCTATTTCAGCATAATATTAGTACATTACTTAAATGTGACCCCTATACTTCCTGCCAAAACAGCTTTAGGGACTGGTGTCCAAGTGCTTCATTGGGGATAAGAGCCAACTCTGAACACTTTCAAAGGCTTTTGTGGGTCATTTAGAAAGAATAACATTTTATGTTCCCATCACTTATCCTTAGTTTGATATACAGTGCTACACTTCCATTCTAAAACTACCATCAATAAGGTTGAGTGCGTTCAGAAAAAATAAATTACTCAGATCTTTCTGCCTATTGCATCATTTCTATAACTGAGCAAATATATAAACTGTTGCCTAGTAATTGTAAAAAAAACCTGAAACACTCTACCACCCAGATGCTTCCACTGATCACAGTCACAAACCCTGGCCAGAAGAGGCAGAAGCATTACTTTTGCTAAAAATGACTGATGGTGTCATGCTCCCACTTCATAGATAGACATCTTTTCAAGCAAAGCTCCATCACATTTCTCTCAGAAAGGTCAGCAGATCTCATGTTACTGGTTTAAAGATCTCTTCGTGCTGTGCCGGATTGTTTTCTATGTATCTTCATGCAGATACACTACTCAGAAATGCAGCAGTAACAGGAGAACACCATGATGGGGTGGATCAGAAGGCCTGTACCCACATAAACATAGAGTTTGTAATTATAGAGCTTCTAAACCCTCCTGATTTCCCAACTGTAACCACACACATTTGAAGCCTGTGTACTCTATAATTTTCAGGGTAACCTCGA